CATGAATGTGTGACCACGGTCAGCCTGCCGCCCTATGGCCTCACTGGGTCCGCCCGTCGCTTGCTGGGTCCGCCTGTTGCAACCCCACGCCTGGGATCCGTGCGCCTGAGTCTATCTGACCGAGTTTTCCTGTGCAACCCCAATCCGCCAGCTGCTGGCTTCGCCCTTCTTACCAGTCCGGCTGAAGAATTCATTGTTATCAAACTTCTGAAAAGTTCAATTTTCTGTGTTTTGGCTGTGTTTTCTGTTGCGAAAATTATGTCATCTCTAAACTTGGTTGTGTGAGAAGGCACAGAGTCTCCACCTATGCCTCCATCTTGGCGGAAGTCCTAATTTATACTTTTTGTGATCCTGTGTAAAATCCCCCAAATTTACAAGACAGTATTATAACATGATGCTAACATGTAACGTGAAAAAGAAAATGACAAAATCGAGGTTGAAATTATTTTTTAAAATCTTTGTTTTTTATTGCTTTGGCAAATGACAAGTATATGTAGTCAGGAAACCTTCAGTTTCAGCTATCATGTATCCTGGCCTCTTCATAGTGCCTGGGATAGAACAACCACCTCCTGGAAAACCTGTACTGGGCCTCCCAGCTGCTCCTGAATCCCTTCCTAGCTGTAATCTCTGCCTCTTCCATGTGCACACTCCTCTGCCCAACCTAGACAGTGTTCACTCTTTAGTCATTTTCTCTTTATCTTCCACCTAAATTTCTAAAGCTCTCATTTACTCTCCTAGTTTTAAGCACCACCCATACATATGTCTTAAATCTGCACCTAAGGCTTATAGCATATGCTGCAGATCCACATTTAAAACCTCTTTTGGACATTTCTTTCTGGATATCCTGAAGTTATTACAACATACATTATATGTTGATATTTGAAACTAAATCTAATTAAGACATAGATACAGAAAAAAATCTCTAAAGGGGCTATTCAAACAATTGATTTGAGTTTGTGATTCTTTTTTTTTAACGATTTTTTAATTGTATTTGTTCCATTACCATTTATCCCCCTTTATACCGTCATCCTCCTCTGCAGTCACCACACCTTTGTCCATGTCCATGAGTTCTTTTTCCTTTCTGCTTGATCCCTCTACCCTTTAAACCCCCTAAGAACTGTCACCCTGCCTTCTATCTATGCATTTGTCTCTATTTTGCTTGTTAGTTCAGTTTATTCATTAGATTCCATATGACTGAAATCATATGTCATGTATTATTTTCTGACTGACTTATTTCACTTAGCATAATGTTCTCCAGGTATGTCCATGTTGTTGCAGAGAGTAAAATTTTTTTCTTGTTTACTGCCGAGTAGTATTTCATTGTGTAAATGTCCCATAGTTGTTTTATCCACTTGTCTACCGATGGACACTTGAGCTCTTGGGTCAGAAATTTTTGTTAAAATAAAAATTTAAAAAAACAACATTATTTATTTTGGTTGCATGTCAAATTAGTCTGCTGCATTTCTGTAAAAGCCAAACATTCTGCTCTTACTTGCAAACATGAAATTTAAAATATCCTAGACTTCTATCTATATCCAGCCTATTAGTCTCTCATCTGTTTTATGAAATGACTAAGCTAAGCCAGGTAAGCTGAACTGTGATTAAATGAGGTAAAATAGTACTTTGTAAATTGTAATATAAAAATTTTATTGTTGTTAGAGTGGTAAAGATACATTCTGTTCAGTAAAAACCAAATGACTATGTTTACTGTCTGTAACTAAATACTGGCATTGGATATAGGGAAGGACAGTAGCTTCCAACTTAGCCATTATAAATGGAAGGGAATGTGATTGACTTTAAAAACTCTTTTTATAAACACTGATTTTGTTACAATGCTTTGCAAGAGTAGAAACTCACCTCAAAATGGCTTACTCACCAAGGAGAATTAATGTATCACATAATATATAACAAGAAATCCAGGAGTGGATGGTTCTAAGGTGGTTCACTCAGTAGCCTACTCATGTCATCTTTCTACGCTGTTATCATAAGTAGTTCCAGATAGCAGCTTCAGAAGCATGTGGAACGTATAAGCAAAGAATTCTAGAGTCTACAATAGGGAAATAAGAGGAGAAAGAGTTTAGGTTAAAGCAACCCACATTTGCTGCATATGACTGAAAAACAAATTGGAATAACATTTAGTGTTTTGTTTCATTTTAGCTCTTGTACCCATTATGAAACACCAGTCACATACAGGAAGGACCTAAAAGCCTGTGATAAGTTCGAAGTATATAAAAGAGGCAGAGTCTTAGTAACAAATTTTTGTGTATAAAGTCAAGATGAAGTTTTAAAAAGAATTGCTTTTCTGTTCATGAGCTTTAAAAATTTTAAACTAGCCCTGGCTGGTATGACTTATTGGATTGAGTGCTGGCCTGTGAACCAGTTGTTGCTTGTTGGATTCCCAGTCAGGGCATATGCCTGGGTTGCAGGCCAAGTCCCCAGTAGGAGGCATGCGAGAAGCAACGACACATTGATGTTCCTCTCCTCTTTCTCCCTCCCTTCCCCATGTGTAAAAAAAAATAAATAAAATCTTTAGAATTTTTAAACTAGTCCCTAGGGGGGGATGCAGGATTTTATGTTAAAAATATTATGCTTGATTAGTCTGACTTCATTAGCACAAAATTACCCTATAACTTATACTAATAAAGATCAAAATAGGAAATAGTCTCTGCATCCTCCAGGATGGTTTAAAAAAAGATATATTTCAGCTGTTTTGAAAGAATTACTGTTTTCAGGATATATAATTTCCACTGGGCCATTATATCACATTAGCTTTAATACAATTACTTATTCTTGTTTATAAAGCTGCAGGTCAAAAATGTTGATTATTTCTGCAATTAGTAGAGAATTTTTAGGACTTAATTAGACAGTAACATTCATTATAATATGTTAGAGTTACAAACAAAAATATACTTTATATATAAAGAAACTAAGAGGTAGGTCAGATCTGCTTGAGTTGGTGTAAGGTGAGTTTATAGCCCTGACTGGTGTGGCTCAGTGGATTGGGCATTGTCCTGCAAACTGAAAGGCTGCAGGTTCAATTCCCAGTCAGGGCACATGCCTACAATGAGGGCCAGCCACCCCTGCCCATTAGGGGGCATGCTGGTTTTTATATTCACATCCAAATTGATCATCAAACTCTATTGGCTGTACTTTTTTAAAGTACCTGAACTGACGACTTCTCACTACCTCCACGCATACCATTCATCCATACTTTGTTGTTTCTCTCCTTGTCTCTCCTGACTGCTTTCTCTGCTTCTGCTGTTGCCTTCTATAGTTTATTCCCTATAAGTCAGAGTAAACTTTTTAAAAGATAAAATGTTGCTTTCCTCCACAGGATGCAAAGAAAATCCAAATTCAGTGCCATTGCTTATAAGGTTCTCCATAGTCAGGAGCCTTGCGGCCTTCCAACATCATCATCGTCGTCGTCATCATCATCATCACTATTCCTTGTTTCACTGCATTTCACTCATATTAACTTTCTCATCCTTTTTAAACTATAACTGTCTTATCTTAGGGTCCTTGGACTTGCTGATTACTTTGTTGAGAATATTCTCCAGATTTTCTTATAATTCCCTTTCTCATTAAATTTCTGTCTTGCTCAGATCTGTCTAAATTGCCTTATCGTAAAGAATGTTCCTATCCATGCTATAAAATAGATTATCCTCTATATTCCCTATTCTATTTTACCCTGATTTAGTTTTATTAATAGCAGTTATCACCGCTGGAATCATGTGCTTGTTTGTTGTCTGTCTTCTAGACACCCTCTACAAGGGAAAGACTTTTTAATTCACTGCTACATTCCTAGCACTTAGAACAGTGCCAGGTACATAGTAATCAATAAATAATACATACTTCACGTGCTGTCTTTATTAAATTTTAGTTGGATTTTAAAATGAAAAAGTAGGCAAACACATGAATTTTCCTGAAAATAAATCATGTTTCTATAAGCACTGCTTTTTAATTTCTAATTTTTAGGCTTGTTTGAGAAAAATGAAATAAACTTTTTACTCTTGCATATGCTTTAAATTTCAGTTAAAGTATTTGCATCTTATTTTCCCATAAAAATATTTAATAGGTAACCTGACATCTTTTTTCTTTTTAAGAACAAAAGTTCCATTTTACCTGTAATTTATTGCTTGACAATATATTTATTAACAAATTCTTAATTTGTGTTCTGTGTTAAAACTTATAAAATTATATAATGTCAAGATCATTGGGCTAATAAAGGAAGAAAAAATAGAAGTAGGGACTTCATTCTTTTTGAACTTTTAGAACATTTCAGTATTTTTTAGGTTGTCTGGAAATCCTGTCAGTTAAGAGACTGGTTTTTCCCCAGTAGTGTACTCATTACCTCTAAGGGACCACGCATGTTCCTGACCATATCTGTTATTCTTTCTTTTTGCTTTTTACTTTTTCTTTGACTTAGGACCTCAGTTTATGCCCCTAACCTCAGTTTTCAGTGGATAAAATTTACTCCTATAGGCTAATAAAAAAGGATAGAGGAAATTTAGCACAATGATAGTAGAAACTAAAACTTAGCTTGAAAATATGCTTAGCACATATAGTACAGCATATATGATATGTATAACATACTGATATATAGTTGAAATTTATTTTCTTGCACTTAATACAGCATTTTTCTAATCTCTGGGGAATACTAATTTTAAGATTTAATGGTAAGGATGGATGTCATTGGTACAATCACTTCCCATTTTACTCACATTTTTGAAGGGTAATTGTAGCTATCTCCATGCGTGGGCAGTGGAGAACAGCACATCTGAAGCTCTAACACTACCACATAGCTATATGCTGTTGGCAGCTAGGGAGTGTTATAAATCAGCACTGGCCCATGTTCTCATGCACACTTACAGACCCCTCTCTCTGGCCCAGTACTTTAACATTTGTAAACTATTTTGTGCCAAACTACTTAATCAGAATTTTTTAAATGGTTGATTTAGATAATTAAGAAATTAATTTCATTTTCTTTTTCTTTTTTTAAGGTGCATGGTGGCTGATGAAGTAAGTGTTTTATGATTTTTTGTCATTTATTTTTAATGTCTGCTATTTACCATGTACTCTGTGTGTTTCCATATGACTCTGTTTCTGTGTATGGAAACAAGGAGAGGGGAAGAGACAGGAAGGTGGGGAGTAGTGTACAAAGAATAAGAATGAAATAAATATGTGTATGTGCATGCAAGGTATGTACTTGGAACATGTTATTAATATTAGTGATCCAACATTCTACATTGTTGGCCTGAGAAGCGTGAATGTGCTTTAAAATGTACCCCAAGTGAAACTGAGTTCTTTTCTGCTTGTCATAATACTTCTTGCTTACAAGCTAAACTTTTAAGAATTTGTTCTAAAGGTTAATTGTTTCCTATAAAACTTAATGTTTAGATAGTATTGTATTACTACTAAGAAATATGATGCATTTCAGAGGCATGTACTTGTATATTCATGTTTTCTCATTGAAATTGAAATTCCTGTCACATAAACTATGGTACTGTTTATGTATATTCTCACAGTAATGTATATCAATAGTTCTAATTTTAACATTTAATTTTAACACAGTAATGTATATCAGTAGTTCTAGTTTTAACATCTTTTTAACAATAGTTCTAGTTTGAGAAAGTTGCTGCTGTTTTCGTGACACCTTTAAATCATGTAACAACAAAACATATACCCTTAAAAATATATTAGAAAAAAAGAAAATGAATACTGAATTTTTAAAAAATATATAAGTGAAACCATAAAAGATTCTGTCAGTTAACTGTTTTTCAGTTTTGGTTACATATAAACTCACCAGTGGTTTATCTCCATAGTCTCTTGTTTAGGAAAAAGATGAATAAGAGCATAGCATGAATATAATGGCTATGCAAAAGGTCGATAGAGGTTCGTGCTTGATTCATGCTGATATTGAACTACCTAAGTTTTTAGTTTGAACCACTTTTTATACTTGTATAGGCATTTATTAACACTAGAAACTACTTAGAAACATAGTCATCACCTGTGAAGGACTTCAACAATATAATTAAAGGGATAGGACATAGACATTTGGAAAACAACACAAATTTCTATTTTAGAATGGGATGAACTCCAAAAAGGCTCTTAATAAAATAATAGATTTGAGAGCCCAAAATGACTGAAGGGGGGGGTGTATGTTTTACTCTCTGAATATTTTTGCACCAAATGTGAATGTAAACTCATCACTCAAAATCTCAAAATTAGCCCTGGCTGCTGTGGCTCTGTGAATTGAGTCTGGGGTCCCTGGTTTGATTCCCAGTCAGTTCGCATGCCAGGGTTGCGGGCCAGGTCCCTAGTTGGGGATATATGAGAGGCAACGAAATCTCTTGCACTTGCACATTGATGTTTCTCTCACTCTCTTTTTCCATCCCTTCCCCTTTCTCTAAAAGTAAAGAAGTAAAATCTTTTTTAAAAATCTCAAAATTAGGCATAACCATTTTATAGAGCACCTATAAAATATATATGTGTGTGATGTTTGTATGGATGTGTGTATTAATAAATTTTATAAACAGACCAATTTTTTATTTACAGAAAATATATTTTAAAATGTAACATGATCTTAATAATCTTTACAAGCAATTCATGGGGAATGTCTTAGCAGCTATGGCTTATCATTGCTACCTTGTTCTTCATTTTGATGTGTTAGAGATTTGAATAGGTCTTAAATCTGTGAAATCATTCAGGAATTGAAATAAACACTTAAGCAACACCTCAACTCTTCCATTTTCCAGCAAACTCCTAAGTTGTCTTCAGTTAACATTAGACTAAGGATTATGAAGAATTCATGATAAATCCTTACCTAACTAGAGTTTTTTCATTATACCAATTGCTTTTCCTCAGCACCTATTATCTATATCAAATAGCACTTATAACATGTTGAGTGATTTGTGATTTTCTTTCAAAGTGATTCTTATTTTTTAATTTCATACACTTAAAAGAACAATTTGATATTTCCTCAATACTTAAGAAAACAATTCACCATTTTTTTGTCCATCATAATTCTCCCTTTTCACCAACATTTTAAAGACTCTCATTCTTTTATATCTATTTGACTTTACACAGCTTATTATCATCAAATTCTGTTAATAAGTTAATTAAGAAAAAATCCTCAACTTTACAAATGAGTACATAAACAGGCTACAAAAATAAACAATATAGGGAGATCCAAGATGGCAGAGGAGTAAGTGGAAGCAACAGTATCCTCCTCTCAGGAACAACCTCGAATTACAACTAAATTATAAGGAAATCTTCCTGAGGGGAAAATGGAGACAGCTATACTTGAATAACAATAAAAATAAAACATGAAAAAAAAAGAAATCTTCCTGAATAACCAACTGAATACTAGCTGGAGAGAAGCCTTATAACCAACAACAGATAGAAGTAACTACTTCAGTACAACAACACTGGTAGGGAGTTTGGAGAAGGTATAAGAGGGCTGGCTGCAGTCCCACAGGCAGCAGCTGAAGTTCTGGAGGGATATTTCAGTGGCCAGAGGAATGCGGGGTGTCTCCTAAGAAGTGTGTGCTCTGAACCCCAAGCTGGGATCCCCAGCCTACAGCACCAGAGCCAGAAAGGACCCCAGACAACAATCAGCTGTGAAAAGCAAGACAGGTTTTGTCTGCCAGGGAGAGACTGCTAGAGATGCTGAGAGCCTCTTAAAGGGCCAAAGCACAAAATTCATTTGCAGCCACTTACCCTGTTCACCAGCAGAGGGAGGACAGAATGGACTCGAGTCAAGTGAGGATAGTCTGGGGTTAGTGGCTTTTGGGAGAGCACTGAGGTAACAGTTACCACGATCCCTGTGCATTAGTCATTCCCCATACTGCAGAAGCCATCTTTCTTGGGTAGAGCACTCTTCTCCAAGTGGTATTAACCTCAATGAAAGCCTTGCTCACAGGAATTACTCTACCCCACCCGATGGTGCTTAAGCCTGGGTGCTAATTATAGTTTAAGTCTCTATTGCAGATTAGTTTAACAACTAAGGAGGCAAATACAAAGAAGCAATCAAAATGTGAAGACAAACAAATAGACCCAAAATGAAAGATAAAATTGTCCAGAGGAAGAACTAGGTGAAATGCAGGCAAACAATTTCTCAGATAGAGTTTAGAGTAATGACTATAAGGATACTCAACAGCATGAAAACAGACATAAGAACCATTAAAAATACCAGTCAGAAATAAAGAATGAAATATCTCAAATAAGTAATACACTGGAAGGAATAAACAGTAGGTTAGATGAAGCAGAGGATGGAATCAGTGGTTTGGAAGACAAGGTAGAAAAAAATACCCAGGCGGAACAGCAAAGAGAGAAAAGAAATTTTAAAAATGAGGAAAATTTAAGAAACATTTTGGACAACATGAAGCATAACAACATCCACATCATGGGAATGCCAGGAGGAGAAAAGAGCAAACAAGGGATAGAGAACCTATTTGAAGAAATAATGGCCAAAAGCTTCCCTAATCTGGTGAAGGAAAAAAGACACACAAGTCAGTGAAGATCAGGGAGTCCCAAACAAGTTGGACCCAAAGAAGCCTACATGGAGACACATCATAATTGAAATGACAGAACTTAAAAACAAGGAGAGAATCCTAAAAGCCACAAGAGAAAAGCAGGAGTTACCTACAAGTGAGCACAAATTAGACTTTCATCTGATTTCTCAACAGAAACATTTCAAGACTAAGGGAGTGGCATGGAATATTAAATAAAGGTGATGAAAAGCAAGGACCTACAACCAAGGCTACTTTGCCAAGCAAGGCTGTCATTTAAAATCCAAGGGGAAATAAGGAGCTTTCCAGACAGACAAATAAATAAATAAATAAATACCCAACAGAGTTTGCTAACACCAATCCAGAACTGCAACAAATGTTAAAGGGCTGGCTTTAAAAATGAGAAGGAAAAGAGAAAGAAAAAATAATAATAGAGGAAAATAGTCTGACAATAAAATGGCAATGCATAAATATCTATCAATAATTACCTTAAACGTAAATGGCTTAAATGCCCCAACTAAAAGACAGAGGGTAGCTGAATGGATAAGAAAACAAGATATATATATATATATTGCTCCCAAGAGACCCATCCAGATCAAAAGATACACACAGGTTAAGTAAAGGGGTATAAAAAGATATTTTGTGCAAATGGAAAGGAAAAAAGATGGAGTAACAGTATTTATATATGACAAAATAGACTTTAAAACCAAGGCTATAGTAAGAGACAAAGAAGGACACTACATAATGATAAAAGGAACAATCCGACAAGAGGATGTCACACTAGTAAACATTTATGCACCCAATGTAAGAGCACCTAAATATGTAAGGCAAATCTTGATGGACATAAAGGGAGAGATTGACTCAAATACAGATATAGTTGGGGATTTTAGCACCCCCTTGACTTCAATGGCTAGATCTTCCAGGTAGAAAATCAAAAAGGAGACAGTGGCTTCAAACTACACACTAGATCAAATGGATTTAATTGATATCTTTAGAGCATTTCCCCCCAAAACAGCAGAATATACATACTTTTCAAGTACACATGGAACGTTTTCTAGGATAGACCACATGTTAGGACACAAAACAAGTCTCATTAAATTTACGAAGATTGAAATCACATCAAGCATCTCCTCTGACCACAATGCTATGAAACTAAAATTCAGTCACAAGAAGAACACTGCAAAACCCGCAAAGACATGGAACCTAAAGAATATGTTATTAAACAATGCATGGGTCAACAACGAGATCAAGGGAAAAATCAAAAGATACCTTGAAACAAATGAAAATGCAGACACAGCAATTCAAAATCAGTGGGACACAGGAAGAGCAATACTAAGAAAATTCATAGCAATACGGGCCTATCTAAAAAGAAAAGAAGAGAAATAAAAGAAAAGCTCCAATAAAGTCTTAACTTTACACTTACTTACCCTTGAAAAAAGGGCAACAAAGCCTAAAGTTAATAGAAGGAAGGAAATAATAATGATCAGAGCCAAAATAAACAAAATAAAG